GGAGGGAGCCCGGGCGAGGCTTTTCCCTCCGCCGCTGGGGCCGGCGCCCGGTCCCCAGAGCGCATCCCCTGCTAGCGCCACTCGGCGCGCGACCCGCCCGGGGGGCAGCTCCCCAGCGCCCACGCGCACAGCAGAGCACGGACGCGCCGTTACCTGCGCTGTGAATGGACTCATCTCCTTGGAAAGGACACTCGCTCAGGGCCCCAACTCGGCTCATGGACCCTCCCAGAATCAGCTTCATCGACTCCACGAACCCCTGCGGCACAAGGGGAGACGCGGTCAGCCACGGGGTGCAGGGCGCAGCGAGGGGAGCGGGGCTGCCCCCGGGCAGGTCCTGGCACTCACCTGCATCCGCTGGTAGGCCTTCTGCCCTGTGCGCACCTCTATCGCCTCCACCTCTGCCAGGGGGATCTCCGAAAGCTCGGGCAGCCCCACGCTGGAGTCCATCTGCTTGCAGTCCACGTAGAGCTCCATGCTGAGCATGTCCCCGCGCAGCCCGCTCAGGCGCACGATCACTGTGTGGCTCTGCCCGTCTGCCACGTGCGCGTGCTGCAGGTTGACCGAATGCAGCTTGTTGTCTTCCCGCAGGTAGCGCACCAGCACTGTGGAGGAGGAGGAGGAAGGGGCCGTGAAGGCTCCTCCACAGGACAGGCGACCCAGCGTGCCCCGGAAGGCGCTCAGCTTGCAGCCGGCTGCTCTCTGCAGCAGACCCCGCCGATGGCAGCAGTTCAGTCCCATTTCCCTCTGCGCATCATGGAAACGTCAGGGCCAGCACGTACCCCCACATCCCCCCGCGGCAGGCACCTACCTTTGTTGATCTTCCCAACCACCGAGACCTCCAGCCACCTCGCGTTGTCCTTCTTGGAGTAGAGGCCAAAGAGGATCCCCCCCTGCTTGGGGGGCAGGCGGAAGGTGGAGAGGAGGTAAACGTCGTTGACCGACAGGAGCTCCATCCTGATTTTGTGCGTGATGCTGGCCATCTGCCGGGCTTCGCTGGCCATGAGCAGGTCGATGACTGCGGGGAGGAGCGGACGGAGGGCACATCCTGAGCGACCTCTCGGGGCTCTGCGCCCGTGCCGCAGGGAAGCCCCCCCCG